AGATGGACTTTGACCTTCTTGGAGTCTCCTGGGTGGGGGGAACCAGATGTGGGTCTGCTTGAAGACCCCCAACCCGGGTGGTGGGACCTCCCTACGGGCTCCAGCTCTCCCCGCCATCACTCCCACCCCACCCCAAACCACCCTGGTGGTCTCCGGTCGGCTCCTGGTGGTCTCTGATCGGCTCCTGGTGGTCTCCATCCTTCCTTTGTCCCCCTTCCCCCAGCTGGAACCGGGTGGTGGAGCTGGTGGAGACCAAGAAGGGCCAACTGAGCTCGGTGCTGAAGATCCAGAACTTCCTCCTGGAGTGCGGCGAGATGAAGGCGCAGGTGCGGGAGAAGCGGAAGGCCATCGAGGCCACCCAGTCGGGTGGCGGCGGCGACCTGGGCGGGGTCCTGGCCCTGCAGCGCCGCCTCTCCACCATGGAGGCCGCCCTGGTGGTCCTGGAGCCGCGGTTGGTGGAGCTGCAGCGCGAGGGCGAGGCCTTGGCCGCCGCCCACCCCGCCCGGGCCCTGGAGATCCTGCTGCCCTTCGAGGAGATCAGCGACGAGTGGGAGAACCTCAAGAGGGCCCTCCAGGGTTGCGAGGACACCCTGACGGTGGCCGGGCGGCTCCAGCAGTTCATCCAGGACCTGGACGACTTTTTGAGCTGGTTGGTGAAGACCCAGGCGGCCGTGGGCTCCGAGGAGGTGCCCGACAGCTTGGCCGAGGCCGAGAGGCTCCTCAACGTCCACGTGGCCCTCAAGGAGGAGATCAACGGCTACGAGGAGGACTACGCCAAGATCCAGGCGGCCAGCGAGCTGCTGGCGCTGGAGGAGATGGAGGTGCCCTCGCTGTCCCTCCAGCAGTGGCTGCAGAAGTTGGACGCGGGCTGGGGGAAGCTCCTGCAGAGCTGGGAGATGAGGAGGGAGCTCCTGGTGCAGTCGCACGTCTTCCACCTCTTCCTGAGGGACGTCCAGCAGTGCCAGAACACCCTCTACAACCAGGTGGGGAGGGGGGGAGGGTGGGAGAAGGTCTTGGGTGGTGGGGATGGATGGGAGGTGTTGGGTGATGGATTTGGGTGGGAGAAGATCTTGGGTGATGGGGATGATGGGTAGAAGAAGGTCTTGGTCAATGGTGATGGATGGGAGAAGGTCTTGGGTGATGGATTTGGGTGGGAGAAGGTCTGAGGTGATGGGAATGAGTTGGAGAATGTCTTGGGTGATGGATTTGGGTGGGAGAAGGTCTTGGTTGATGGGAATGGGTGGGAGAAGGTCTTGGTTGATTGATTTGGGTGGGAGAAAGTCTTGAGTGATGGGAATGAGTTGGAGAAGGTCTCAGGTGATGGAGATGATGGGTAGAAGAAGATCTTGGTCAATGGAGATGGATGGGAGAAGGTCTTGGGTGATGGAGATGGATGATGGGTGGGAGAAGGTCTTGAGTGATGGGAATGAGTTGGAGAAGGTCTTGGATGATGGGGATTGGTGGAAGAAGGTCTTGGGTGATGGGGATTGGTGGGAGAAGGTCTTGGTCAATGGAGATGGATGGGAGAAGGTCTTGAGTGATGGGAATGAGTTGGAGAAGGTCTTGAGTGATGGAGATGGATCGGAGAATGTCTTGGGTGATGGATTTGGGTGGGAGAAGGTCTTGTGTGATGGAGAAGATGGATGGGAGAAGGTCTTGGTCAGTGGAGATGGATGGGAGAAGGTCTTGGGTGATGGAGATGGATGGGAGGTGTTGGGGGATGGATTTGGGTGGGAGAAGGTCTTGGGTGATAGGAATGAGTTGGAGAAGCTCTTGGGTGATGGGAATGAGTTGGAGAAGCTCTTGGGTGATGGGAATGAGTTGGAGAAGGTCTTGGTTGATGGGGATGGGTGGGAGAAGGTCTTGGTTGATTGAATTTGGTGGGAGAAGGTCCTGGTTGGTGGCTTTGGGCGACAGAAGATCCTGGTGGACCTCCCGTGGTGGCTTTGGGGTGACGGGGCCGAGGACGGCGCGTGACCGTGTCCTCCCCCATTCCTCCCCCAGGAGACCACCCTGGCCCACGCCGAGCTGCCCGACACGGTGGAGGGGGTCACCAAGGCCCTCAAGAAGCACAAGGACTTCACCACCACCCTGGAGCTCAACCTGCAGAAGGTGCAGCTGGTCCTCCAGGCCGGCGAGAGCCTCCAGCGCCAGCGCAACATCCACAGCGACCGCGTGGCCGAGGCCGTGCAGGGGCTGCGCGCCAAGTACGTGCGGCCAGGACCCGACTCCCCCCTACCCGGGGACCACCCGGGACCACCCGGGACCACCCGGGATGTTCTCAAACGCTCAGGACCCCCCACAACCACCCAGGACCACCCAAGAGCCCCTGGGACCATCCTGGATATCCACAAACACTCAGGGCCCCCCACAACCACCCAGGACCACCCGGGACCACCCTGGATGTCCTCAAACACTCAGGAACCCCCAGGACCACTCAGCATCCCCCACAACCACCCAAGAGCCCCCATGACCACCCTGGACCACCCAACACCACCCAGGACCACCCAGGAGCTCCCAGGACCACCCTGGATGTCCTCAAACACTCAGGACCCTTCCCCAGCACCCAGGACCCATCTCCCCCAGCCGGGATCACCCGGGACCACCCTGGATGTCCTCAAACACTCAGGACCCCCCCCAAGCACCCAGGACCACCCAAGAGCCCCCAGGACCACCCTGGATGTCCTTAAACACTCAGGACCCCCCACAACTGCCCAGGAGCCCCCAGGACCACCCTGGACCACCCAACACCACTCAGGACCATTCCACAGTGCCCAGGACCACCCTGGACCCCCCATCCCCACTCAGGACCACCCAAGACCTCCCTGGACCACCCATGACCACCCTGGACCATTCTTCAGCACCCAGGACCACCCACGACTGCCCTGGACCCCCCATCCCCACCCAGGACCACCCTGGACCACCATGGACCCCCCATCCCCACTCAGGACCACCCAAGACCACCCTGGACCCCCCATCCCCACCCAGGACCACCCAAGACCACCCTGGACCACCCAGGACCCACCATCCCCACCCAGGACCACCCTGGACCCCCCAGGACCCCCCAATCCCCACCCAGGACCACCCTGGACCCCCCAGGACCCCCCATCCCCA